ATTATGACATTACAAGAAAAACTTGAATTGATTTATATGTATCATAGATGAAGTCTTCAGCTGTGGTTGCATACCATTTCAAGATAAATGAATCCAGCATAAGGACCATCATAAAAAAAGAAAAGGAAATTCATGAAGCCATCACTGTAGCTATGCTAGTTGGCACAAAAACCTCGCACATTCTGTGAAATATCTTTTTATTATCTCATATTAAAAATGCAGCTTTTAGTTTTGTGCAGGATTGCAATAAGAAAGGCATACCTATAGACTCTAATATGGTTCAAGAAAAAGAAGTTATTATATGACAACTTAAAGCAAAAGGAAGGTGAAGAATATAAAGCTGAAGAATTTCATGCCAGCAAAGGATGGTTTGATAATCCTAGAGAAAGCTTGGCTTAAAAAATGTCAAGATAACAGGAGAAGCAGTTTCTGTTGACCAAGAGGTGGCAGAAGAGTTCCCAGATGCCATTAAGAAAATCATTGAAGGAGAAAGGATATCTGCCTGAATAGCTTTTGAATGCAGACAAAAGCACCCCATTCTGGAAAAAATGCCACAAAGGACATTTATTAGTAAGGAACAGAAGTGAGCACCAGGATTTAAGGCAGGAACTCTATTGTTTTGTGCAAATGCAGTGGATTTATGATCAGGACTGCCCTTATCTACTATAAAGCTACTAACTGCCAAGCCTTGAAGGGAAAAGATTAATACCAACTGCCAGTCTTTTGGTTGTGCAAGAAGAAGGCCTAGCCAACGAGAACCCTTTTTCTGAATTGGTTCTATTGTCCCTGAAGTCAACAAGTACCTTGCCAGTAAGAGACTGCCTTTTAAATTTATTTGGATGTTGTACAATGCCCCTGGCCACCCAGAACCCCAAGAGTTCAACACCAAAAGCACTGAAGTGGTCTACTTGCCCCCAAACACAATGTCTCTAATTCAGCCTCCAGGTCAAGGAGTGAATAGGACATTTAAGGCTCATTACACACGATACTCTATGGAGAGAATTGTTAACAATATTGGAGAGAACACTGATAGAACATCATGAAAGTCTGGAAGGATTACACCATTGAAGGTGCCATCATTGTTATAGAAAAAGCCATGAAAGCCATCAAGCCTGAAACAATAAATTCCTCCTGGAGAGAACTGTGTCCAGATATTGTGCATGACTTTACAGGATTTATGACAGAATCAATCAAGGAAATCATGATAGAGATTGTGGATGTAGCAAAAAAGGTGGGTGTGGGTGGGTGTGGTGAAGAGTTTCAAGATAAAGATCTTAGAGAAATTCAAGAGCTAATAGACCCACACCTGAGGAATTAACAGGAGAAGACTTGATGGAGATGAGTGCTTCCAAACCAGTGCCAGATGATGAGGAAGAAAATATAGAAGAAGCAGTGCAGGAAAACAGACTGACATTAGACAGTCTAGTGGAAAGGTTCTGATTATTCAAGACTGCTTTTGACTTCTTTTACAACATGGACCCTTCTATACAATATGGGCCCTGACACTATAGCAAACAATGAAAGGACTGGTACCGTATAGAAACATTTTAGAGAAATGAAAAAGCAAAAAAGTCAGACGGAAATTACGATGTGTTTTCCTAAAGTTTCACCAAGTGTGCCTGCCTCTTCTGCCTCCCCTTCCACCTCCTCCACTTCTCACTCTCCCACCCCTGAGACAGCAAGACCAACCCCTCCTCTTCCTTCTTTTCCTCAGCCTACTCAACGTGAAGATGATGAGGATGAAAATCTTTATGATGATCCACTTCCAATTAATGAACAGTAAATATACTTTCTTTTCCTTGTGATTTTCTGAATTTTTTTCTCTAGCTTTACTGTTAGAATACAGTACATAATACATATAACATACAAAATATGTGTTAATAGACTGTTTATGTTATTGGTAAGGCTTCCAGTCAACAGTAAGCTATTAGTAGTTACATTTATGGGGAGTCAAAAGTTATATGCAGATTTTCAACTGCATAGGAGGTCAGTACCCCTAACTCCCATGTTGTTCAAGGGTCAACTGTATATTCCTTCCTTCTGAGTATAATTCC